CCTTCAGCCCAGGATGGCAAGAAAGGGTTAAACGATCTCCAGGTGGCAGAAAGGAGGTTTCTGTCCAAGGCTCTGGCTGCAGACCTGAGCCATGAGAGCAGGGAGAGCAGTGTCCTGTTCAATGAAACCCCGCATGATTCTCAGGCCCCAGATCCACAGCAAGAGTTCAGTGAGGAGGTGTCTGGTGAATTACTGAATGGACGTGATTTGGGGGAAGACGGTTCCACACTCAAGTGGAGTTAGGGGCATGAATCCCCACCCCATCACCAAGAGTTTTGGGACAAGGACCAACAGACACCTACATACCAAATAGATTTAGGATGCCCAAGTAGAAATCTGAAGAACGGTAACACCAATAGCATCATCATTTAATTATGCCATCTAATGTCACACCAGTCCTGTGACTTATCGACTATGATTACCTGAATTTATAAACAAGAACACTGAGGGATAAGGCAGAGCTGGAGTCTGACCTCACCTCTCGTTACAAATGACACACTAAAGGGCAGGGAGGCCAAGGTCAACTGTGGCACAGCTGGGATAAGTAGCATAAGGACTCCCACATCCAGCTCAGGGTCTGCCTGGAGACCTGCAGCTTTCAAGACTGTATAAAAAAAAGAAAAACTGCTATTGAAGTATTGGAATAAGTGGTTAGTGCTCCCCGTGCAGCCCTTCTCCTCTAAAGGCAGCTCCCCAAATCTCCTTCCTGGGAGGTAGAGAAGACAAGGAAAGGGACAAGCCACTTAGCTCCAGCCCAGGCTGCAGCTAGAGATAGCTTCAGAGACAGCATGCCACAGCCTTCCAGCCAGCTAGAGGCTGCAGTAAGGAAGGCTGGGTGCATGTCACACTTGCTGTGCCTAGATCTGCCCAGCCCAGGGCTTCCCTCCTGCCTCTAGGCCTCCATTCTTGCTGTGCCTTCCTTGAGGATGACCTTTCCTGGTATCCCAGCCTGTCCAATATCCCAGTCAGTGTTCAAAACCCAGTTTAAGCTATTCACCAGTGGCTCAGGCCTGTGATCCTAGCTAAGTGGGAGGCTGAGATTGGGAGAATCTTGGTTCGAGGCCAGCCCAGGCAAATAGTTTGTGAGACCTCATCTCCAAAATAACCAGAGCGAAATGGACTGGAGACATGGCTCAAGTGGGAGAGCACCTGCTTTGCAAGCTCAAAGCCCTGAGTTCAAACCCCAGGAAAAAAAAAAAAAAGCCCAGTTTATGTGCACTGTGTCCCCATGTACAGCCACACTCAGGAGCAGCATCTCCCTCTGGACTTTGAATCCCAAGCATTCCTTCACATCCCCACTCTGTACCCTGTCAGGCTGAGAGCCCCTCTAGGGGGTTCCTAAGATGCCTGCTGAGCACGGCAGCGAGAATGATGAAGGGCCTGGAAATGGAGCCTGTCGCTTCTGTCTGTGACTGGTGCCCATCTGTGACTGGTCTGCATGTAGAGCTCTCCAGTAGTGGCCCTTCCCCCCTTTAGGACAATACCACCTGCACCTTAAACTCTAAGTCCTCACTGTGAGGACCAAGACATTTTCTGATTTCTGCAGGCCAGATTTAGGCATGAGCCTTAGAAACTGATGTGGAAACTGACCCTGAAACATCTCCCAAGCCCCACCAGGCTCAGCACTGAGGGAGACCCCGGGTGAGTGGATGGGGACAAGATCCCAGAAGGATCCTGCCCTTGGGGGACCGACCAGAGGGGATGGCTGAGAGGCCTGAGGGCAGGGCCATACTCGCAGTCACCACTACCTAAAATGATGCAGCACACAGTGGCCGCTCACTAGCCATGACCAGGTCAGTAAATGAGTGTGTGTTGACCAAGAGGGGCCAGAGTGCAATGTGTCAGGTGCGGTGACAGAGCTAGAGAGTCCCAAGTGAGACAGGGAGAGGGAGATCAAGAGAGAGGGGAGGGCCAAGAGGTTTGTGGTTGACCAAAACCAAGCAGGGGGCACATCTTTAAAAGCACTTGACCACAGTTGCTTGGGAGCAGCAGCCTGAGCTGTGGTTTTCCGTCTTTTTTTCTGCAGAGCAATCTTTTTTTCAAATGAAATTCTACTCCACGTCCTAAATGCATAACAGAGCTGCTGTGGTGGGCGTCAGTGGGCTGCCAGGCCAGTGGCCTCCCTTGGGGGACTGTCTCCCCATCACTTTCCTCTCTTTGAGGGGGGTTCAGGGAAACTAGGCTGGGGGAGCTTGTCATAGGCCGGGGCCTTTCACAAGTGAAGTTAGGGCACGTGAACCCCAAAGAGGCTGGAGAAACTTCCCCAGCAATGAAGGGTGGGAGAGGCCAGTTTGGCAAGGTGAAGTCAATTCAAGGCCATCAGATACTAGAGGGCTGAAATAATGGGGGTGGCTCCTAGAGAGAAGGGCTTTCTGAGAAACCCTTTGGAAAGCAAGGCACTGGGATCCAGCAGACACCAGATACGTGACCAATGTGTGAAAGCCCAGCATTTAATTGCCAGAGTCACTGAAAAAACCAAGGCGCCTGTTGGAGGGAGGCCAATCCAGGTTCTATGACTCACCATCCCTACTGGGGAGGAGCTTCATGCTTCATGCCCCACCCCTGTCATGGTACTGGGGTGACCCTCCCCTCTCACCCACTCAGCCTGTTTCTTCCATGATACACACTCTACTACTGATCTGGTCTGACCGATCAGCATATTCTGGGTTTTAGTGATTGGTCAGAGGCAGTCATGTGACCCACCATAAGCTAATAAACCTCAACTCTGGGACTTTGGTTGGAACTCTTGGGAGAAAGCAACTCCTCTTCCATTTAGGGTTGGATTTGAAATGAGCAGGATGTCAGGCTGGAGTTGCTGGTCACTGCCTGCTGCCACATGAGGGTGCCTGCCAGGGACAGAAACCCACAGCAGAAAGCAGGGGCACAGATGTGCTGAGAAATGGTCCTGGAGTCATCTCAAGTCCTGGATCCAGCTCTGCCTTGACTCCAGTAAATAGCCCCAAATTGCCAATTTACAGAACACCAACACATTGCTTGTCCTATTAATCTGGTCTGAGTTGGGTGTTGGCTGCAAAGCAATACCTGTGCTCAGCCTCTCACCCCTGCAGCTGACCTTTGCTTGGCACCCATTGTTGGTTCTTACAGTAGCTCCTCCCTTCTCCAGTTGTGCCTGTATGACCCTCAGATCAGGTTGCCTGGGTCAGCAACCTGGCTGGGCTGCCTGCACCCCAGCCTTCCTGACTGTCTGGTCCCCCTGGGCTGCTTAATGAGACTCTGGCAAGCTTTGTTCCGGCCCACTCACTCTGTTTCCACCACTATTGTCCTGCTCCTGGACCTTCAGTGCAGTGGAGGGATGTAGACAGTAGGCAGTGGATGAGGGTTCTGGAATCCAGCCACTCCTGAGCTCCAGCTAGGAAGGACTGGTCACCCAGGGATCTGGTCACAGTCTCAGAAGACCTGCCAGGGGGAGAGGCTGCAAGGGATATCAGGGAGGTTGGGCTCTGATGTCAAGCAGACATGAAGAGTTCTGGGACTCTATCCAGGGGATCACACAACTACCCACCTGACAGAAGTCCACAAAACTCACACACCAAATGCGGACGAGAGTGTGGGCAACAGGAACTCTTATTCATTACTGGTGGAAATGCCAAATGGTGCAGCCACTCTGGAAGATAGTGTGGCAGGTTTCTTACACAGGTAACCTGCCAAGGTTACTCTGCGATCCAGCGATCACACTCCTAAGTACTTACCCATAGAAGCTGAAACCCCAAGTCCACACACAAAGCTACACACAAATGTTTATAGCTCCTTTATTCACAATTGCCCCAAATTGGAAACAACCCAAATATCCTCAAATAAATAAACTGTGCACCTCTGATAGGACACTATGAATGACCAAACGAAATGAGCTCCCAGGCTAAGGAAAGGCATGCAGGAAACTTAAATGCATGCAGCTAGGAGAAAGAAGCCCGTCTCAAAGCAATATACAGCAAACTCCAGTTATGTGACTTTCTAGAAAAGTCACTATAGTGAAAGGAAAAAGATCATTGGTGCCAGCCAGAGGAAGAAGGCAAGGAAGGTTGATAAAAAGAATCAGGATCCTGTTACCTGGCAAGGCAGAGGGTCCCCAGTACCTATTTTCCCCTCCATAGTAACAGAATTGTAGTTGGGCCACAGAAAGGCTCTAATTTCCAGCCTCCCACACCTCACTACTGCCTGGCCATGGGACAGAAATGGTGTGATGCATGCATCCTCTCCCCATTTGCTGAGCAGAAAGCAGACACCGTGGTGGGCCATAGTAGATCACGGTGACCAGAAATGATGGAGTCACAAGATGGAAGGAGTCTGGGCCTTAATGTTTGCTATAAAAAAGTTGCCTTATCTTATCTTGCTATTGCTTAAGGAACTGTTGTTTGGGGATTTTGCCAACCCAACCACTTATGGTCACTAATACAGGAATCTTCAAGGGTTGTTCTAAGGAGTCTATATAAGGGCAGCTAAAGCATCTTCTCTCCCTCCCTCCCTCCCCTTTTCCCTTTCTCCCTCCCTTCCTTTTTTTCCTGCCTTCCACAAGTAACTGGAATGTAGGGCTCTGACTAAGAACAAGGTAGCCAAAACCTACCCTCATCCTAGTTCAGGAGGCCATCAATGCAAGAACATGGTACTTACAGATTGTCATGAACGCAGGAGGACCGTTAGTGACAGCTACTGTTTATTGGGTTCTTAGCATACTCTGTCAGTTCCATTCTAAGTTCTTTTCATGTATCATTTCATTTTATCTTTACCACAAACACAGTTGGCAGGTGTTCCCCCTTCCTCATTTGACCAACGAGGAAGCTGAGACACAGAGAGGTTGAGGAACCTGTCCTAGGTCACACAGTTGGTAATTGCTCAGTCCAGGATTTGTAGCAAGTGAATAAAACAGGGCTGTGGTGGTGGAGAATGGTGGGGTGCCCTGCTCACGGTTACTTTTAGCCACAAGGACAGCAACAACAAAAGCAGCATAAAATTTCATACTCCATAAACCCAGACTCCCTTACCTGGGTGACAGAGTGGGAAGGTTGCAATGGATTATGTGCACGTTTCTAGAAGTCACTGTCAAGGGGCTCAAATTGCTGTGATGATGACGGCCGAAGCTCCGGCCCCTCAGGCTCGAGACGGTCCAGTGCCCACCTGTCAGGGAGAAGCAGGAGAGTTGTGACTGTCTGGTGGGCTGATTGAATCACCTCCCTCTGCCTGAGGTCTTGTTTTCCTGCGTGCAATGCTCTCTGGCCATGCCAGAGGCAGTGCGAAGAGATGCAGGCTACAGGAGCCTGATGCCAGCATCAGGCCTGGGACCTGCCACCAGCTCCTGGCTGCACTAGTCTGGAAATAATTCCACAACTCAAAGAGATGCATAAGCTGGTGTGTACACATCTCAAGGAAAAATACTTGAGTATCATACCCACTGCATCAGCAGAGTGTCCTGTTGTGGGGGGTGGTTGGCACATGTGTCATGAATTGCTTTTATGTAAAATCACTTTTCATGTCTGAGTGAGTGGTAGGAAAGGGCTAGAGTTTGAGCCCATCGGAGAAAAGTTCCTTCCTCATAGGAAAACGCATTCCTGGGATGTTCCAGCCAGCCAGACGAAGGCGTCTTGTTACCAATGAGGAGGCTGATACCAGAGAACAATTGCAACTTGCCCAGGGTCACACCGCAAATAGGTGACAGAGCAAGGCCTAGCCTCAGGGTCTCTCCTGATGTGTGGCCTAGAGCATTAGCCTCCCTCCTTTCAGCTGTGAGACTTGCAGCCCCTGGAGCAGCCCTGCAAGCGGTCAGGTAGCTGTGCACACCTCTAACCAGTTAGGGGCCACAGCACAGGACTGAATCCAGGCTGTGCTCAAGCCCAGACAAGGTAGGGAGTGGTGCCCACAGAGGTCAGTAGCGTGTGCTTTGGAGGCAGGTGGGTCTCGGCCACATGCACAGACACCTCTTTCCAGAAGTGGGACCCTGGGCACGTCAGTGGTTTCTCAGAGCATCAGTCTCCTCATTGGTAAAGCGGAATTAGAACAGCATCTCTTCCCAAAGAATACTGGGACTTAAAATGACTTAATCCATAAGTGCACAAAACCCACAGGACAGTTTTTTTTTGCATTTTTTTTACAGGAGAATATTTTACACATAGAAATGATTGAATAAATATTAGCTAGGTGACAAGAGGATATGTGAGTGAGCGGACAAGGGACAGGGGAGCACTGGATTGGGGGTTGCCTTGGCAAGCCTTTGGACAGACGGTGTCCAAACCTCCAGCCATTCCTTTCCTTTGCCCCCATTCTTCCCATCTGCAGGCTGTCAAGGACACCTGTGTAGATTGCCTGCCTGTCCCTCCAGTCTGTGAACCCCCCACCCGCCTGTGGGATCTCCCACCCAGACATCAAGCACCACCCACCTTTCCCAGCCGGCAAAAAGCAAATGTCATTGGTGCTTTGCTAGCTCACTTGGAGCCAAAAGCAACCACACTGAGAACCAGGGAGGGGCTGCAGGACATGTGCGGCGATATTCATGGCTTTTTCCGAAAGAGTATGATAAAGACAGACGTCAACAGCTGCAGGAAAGCAGTGACGAGGGAGATTATTTCGGCAGCAGGACACACAGCTGTCGCTCTGGCCACTCTCCACTGTCGCCAAGTTCCTGCTGCAGTCACCCTTGTCCAACCTGTATCAGTCTCTCTGCCTCTCTGGGCCTCTGAGTCCCTTCCCCGGCACTCCCTTTCCCCTTGTGGCCACCCCAGTAGATGAGGAGGCTCATCTGGGTGCCCCAGCCTCCATCCCCCCAGCTCACTTCATCCAACCAGCTGAGACTCATCACCCACGTTTAGCAGCCCATGGAGGGGGGGTCTTCCTCTCAGGGGGAGATGGCAGCAGTACACCCCCTCCCCCATGGACCAGCATCCAGGAGCCTCAGGATCCAGTCCCAGCACCAATCTAACTTGTCATAAACACTGTGCCATGTCCTAGCCAAAGGGGCCTTGTTTTCTCCACCCGTGAAAGGGGTAGCTGGGTCACTGTTGGCCTCTGCAGTCTTTTGGGTCAGCTCTGAAGCCCAAGGTTCCACAACTCACAGAGAGGCCTAGGGAGGCCCCTCCCCATCCTGTTTCCCTCATGACACCAGCAGGCACAAAGGCTTCCTGCAGGAGGCAGCAGGTGTGTGACAACGCAAGAGCAGCGTGCACAGAGATGTCAAAGTGCAGGCAAGGGGCAGGTGTCAGGACCCTGAGCCAAGGCCACCTGCAGGGACAGAGTAGGAAAACAATGAGGAAGCTCAGTGGGCAGTGCTTCACATGTGTCCTCCCATTTGATCCTGATTTTACTGACAAGAAACTGAGGCTGGGAGAGGATAGGGAACTGGGCAGACCCAGCCATGCATAAGTTGGATTTGAACCCATATTCAACATCAGAGTGGAAGTTCTTGGTCTCTATGGGATGCTGCCACCAAGCCTGCTTAAAACAGAATGTGCCAGAGCTACACAGGGGTGCTTGTGTCATAAACACAGGCACAAGGGAGCTGGAGCACATGACGAAGGGCAGCTCTGCGTCCATCTGGGGTGCGCGGTGTGTGAACGTGTGCAGGTGGAAACGCAGGTGTGTGTCAGCTTCCGATGAAGCTCCTGTCCTGAGTTGGGCCCAAAAGGGCCAGATGGAAGACATGACCTTGCAGTAAATAGGGCTGGGGCAAGGCAGTCACAAGGCCCCAGTCAATCCTACTACAGCCCAGGAAGCCCCATGCTAAAAAAGGGCTATGAGCCAGGCCTGTCCTCACGGGTCCAGGCCCACCTCACCTGCCTCTGCATCGCACACTCCCTGAGGCCAGGCCCCACTGCTGCTGGAGACAGCGACTTCGTCTGGCACTGTCCTTTGCTCACGTCCTCCACTGTCCCTCAGGTCACCTGCCTGGCCAGGGACCAGCAGATCTGGCTCTGCATATCATGGCAGGCATATGCCTGGGGCTGTGGCCATCTCACTGGTAGGGAAGGGGAGTCCTGGAGCACTGGCACACCGGGGACGGAGAGGGGATCCAGCTGAAGACTCAGACCCGAATTCCAATCCTGGCCATCTCAGCTGCTGGCTTTGTGCTCAGGGCAGGCAAAGCCCCTCTCTGAGCCTATAAAACTAAGGAGCCGTGGACAGTCTCGGAGCAAGAGTACACACACACTGTCAAGTGCTGTGCCTGCCAATAGGGCTGTGGCCCCAAGCCCAGTGGCCAGGATAAGGCAGAAAATAGTGCAGAATTTCCAGCGAGGCTTCACAGAGAATCCTGTCAATACCTTTATGTAAGTCCCTCTCTCGCTCTCCTCAGTCTTCCCACCTATAACATGGAGGCTCTTCAAGCTCAAATACAGTGATACACAGCCACCTGGTGTCTTGTTTTTTCATCATTACCTACTATTCACATTACAGCTGGGCGATTGGAGCCCGGGGCAGGTACAGTGGTCAGGAGGAGAAGGATGTAGTTCTGTGTTTGAATAGCTGACCAAAGAGGACCATGACAACCCTATGAAGACAGGGAAGCTCTCAGGGTTGGACTGAGGCAGGATTGCTGGGGGCAGAGGGACTTTAGACACAGTCTTTCCTGAAGTTTGCATGAGGCTGGTCATGAATTCAGCAGAGAAGACAAGAGAGAGTTCTGTTTCCTGGAGTCCTTGTATATTTGCTCCTTTGGAAAGCAGTAATTGAACACCTGCTGTGTACCTGGCACAGATTAGGCCTTCAAAGGAGCCCAGTGTCCCAGGGAGAAGATGATAATGGTCAGTTCTTTGTAGGTCAAGCAGTAGGTCAAGGAGAAACTCATCGTATGGCTGAGGAGAGTCAGCCCCCAGGGAAGGCTTCTCGGAGGAAGAGGCAGAGGCACAGGATTACAGAAGGTGGGCAGAGGGACCGGGGGAGCAAAGGCTTGAGGGTACCAAGTGTTGGATGGAGATCCAGATGGGGCAGAGTGGGCCACAAGACAGGCAGGGCTGGTTCTTAAGGTCCTTGAATGCCAGGTTGAGGATGACAAACTCTATCTTATAGGCAATGGGGAGCCACTGAAGGTCATAGAGAAGAGGTGCTTAGGTAGATGGAAAGCAGGAAGAAGCCCAGAGAAGTGGAACTAGTTAGAAGCAAATGGCAGGAGGATGGGTGGGACCTGGTGGTGGGGGGAGGGTGGGGATGAAGGGGAAATGGAAGAAGGGTCTACGTGTAGGGATACTGTGTCAGACAGGCCAAGGTAGGGGAGACAGGTGTGGGTGGAAGAAAGATGATGACTGAATTGAAACATGTCGGGTTCGTGTCCCAGTTCTGCAGCTGCCACCAACTGTGTGGCCTCAGTTTACTCCTCAATGAAATAGAAAACATACAGACGAATGTGGAATTCAACCAGATTACACCTGTGAAGACTTTGAATCCAGTGTGTGATGGATGCTTGGCACTTGCTTTTATAAACAAGGGATGTCCCTCCCTATTTAGGAGGCCACTGAAGTCAAGGTCAAACTAGAGAGGGCAGGTGTGCTGGGCCTCAAAGCACAGGAAAAGCAAGTTATGAGCAAATAAACCTGGGATGACTCAGAAGAGTCTTGATTTGAAAATATTGTTAAAGAAAAAGACTTTTATGACTTCTGTGTTGGGTGCTTATTAAACCCAAGCTATAAATGCAAACTAATAGGTAAAATGAGTTAAGTTAATGAAAAATCAACGTGTCTATGGCAGTCCACAGACATCAACATAAAATTTTAAAGTACAAGAATGAGTTGCAATACCCAGCAGCACAGGGAACAGGCGATTTCTCTGTCTGAAGAGTAACAGCTATTGATCTTAGCAGCTTCTCATTGCTCACGAATGGGTCTTCGGGAAATCTTCAAGGAAGAAATTATTGCCCACTGTTTACTCACTGAGGATCGTATGTATTGAATTTAAATTGTCTCTGATTCCTAATTAGTGCAAACCAAATTAGAATCCAAATACACCAGAACTGGAAAGGCCCTTGGAGGCCTCTGAGTGCTGGGTTCTTTGTCTTCTAGAACAGGAAGTAGAGAGACAGGGAAGAGGAGCGACTTGCCCAAGATCACACAGCAAGGGCAGGACCCAGGCTAGAACCAGGGCTCAGGCACCAGGAAGCAACCTGCTTGGTCCCTGTAGCCTC